GTAAATATGAAGGATAGAAATCATGTACAATTACTCTTTCTGAACCACTTTTAAAATTTCGTTCAAATGATGAATTAAAATCTACACTTCTCCATGAAATGATTCATGCTTACTTATTTATTACTAAACCATCTGAAGCATTTATAAATGAAGGACATGGACCTGCATTCTTGGAAAAAATGAACTTTATTAATTAAGTTACTGGATTATAATTAAGTGTCTATCATCAATTTCATGATGAAGTTGATAGATGTAGAAATCATATATGGAGATGTAATGGTAGTTGTTAATAAAAACCTCCTTTTTTTGGTTATGTTAAAAGAGCTATTAATAGACCACCTGGGAAAACTGATTATTGGTTTTAAAAACATTAATAAGAATGTGGAGGGATTTTTGAAAAAATAAGTTAACCAGAAAAAAAACAACAATAAAAAAAAGTTTAGAAAAAGAAAAACTCTAATAATATAAAACAAGAAAATTTAATCAAATTATCCAATTTCTTTTAAAATGAACAAATTTATGCAAAATTTTAAATTAATTAAAAAGAAATAGCTATTGAATTTCTTATGGTTCTTAATTCATTATTAAATTTTGAACTTTTCAATCAAAAATTAGAATCTATTATTTCATGTTTAAAAGAGACATATAAATAAAATATTGAAAACTTCAATATTAAAAAACTAATTAATATCAAACAAAGTCTAGAAAAATGTAATAATATTACAATTCTTAAATGTTCTAAAGAAATTGGAGAGTAAATGAAAATACTTTCTATTACAGTTCGCATAAATGGATGTTCTCCTTAGATGAGTATATTAATGTAATTAAATAAATTATTGAAATGAAAAGCTTTATAATTTATATATGATTACCATTCTTAATAAGGCTGTGAATTTTTATACAAAAAATAAAAGAAGAATAGATCCTCATATTACATTTCTAGGACTCTACTTAACAACCAAATTCTTATTCAAAAAGACAAAACACATTCTATCAACTTTAATGCTTTAATAAGTTGATATTATTAATAAATATGGCAAAGGCTCATATGCTTTAATTACAGGTGGAGCTGGTGGAATTGGAAAAGAATTTGCTATTGATTTAGCAAAGAAGGGATTTAACTTAATTATAGTTGATTTCAATTAAGTCAATTTGGAATCTGTTTAATAAGAAATCCTAAAAATAAATAATAATCTAATGGTTAAGACAATACTATTGGACTTTAGTTAAGGCAATAATCCTGACTTTTTTAAGAAATTTCAATAAGAAGTATAATACTATTTTAATTTTAGATATCAAATTTAGATATCTCCATTTTAATTAATAATGTAGGAACAATCAAAGGAGCCACTGGTATTTTTGATAGATAACCTCTTTAAAATATTATAGAAGGTTTTAATATTAATTTTGTTACTGCAATTATGCTAACTCATGCAGTCATCAATTAAATGAATTTGAGAGATAAATATTAATCATTAATAATAAATCTAAGTTCTGCATCATCTAATTTTCCTTTACCTCATTATTTTGGATATGGAGCATCAAAAGTATATACTTTATAATTATTTTTTTAGAATGGTATGGCTAACTTTTTTGATGCTTTAGCCTTAGAAAATAAAGATAATAAAAAAGTTGATATATTAACAATAAAACCATACTTTGTGAGTACTGCATTAATAAATTATAGAAAAGGTTTATTTATTATATCTCCTTAATAATTGGTACAATAGACTTGGAAATATGTTGGTAGAACTACAGAAGCTATACCAAACATAAGTCATCAATTATAATATTATTTTGATTCATCAATACCTATTTGGCTATTGAATAAAATTAATCAATTTTAAAGAAGACCATAAAAGAAATGATTGAGAAAATGAATTATCTAAAAGTAAAATATTAATAGTAATCATAATATATATTAAGTAGTCATATAAATATATCATAAATTAATGAATATTAAATAACTTTTCAATATTTAAGATAAGTTATTATAATTGATAGTTCTATATTATAAGATTTCTTTCTATTTAATTTTGTTTATTCTATTGCAAATTTTGTTGATTAATTTAAATTGTATGAATAATTTATGATAATTTATCTAATAATAATTTCTATATATATAAATTAGAAATATATTTGACCATATTAATATACTATTAGTTTGGTATATATGAACATCTTTTTATTTTCCTAGAATAACTCAATAACTCAATTAAAGTTTTCTTTTTTTTTGTTATTTTTCTGATTAATTTTTATGAACAAAAATATATTTGATTTTTCACTTATTCTATTTTATTATATTCTCTACTAATATTTACTTATCATTTTTCTAGTTTTCATAATTTAAAGAAGGTTTACTAAATTTATAAAATTTATTATAATATTATTTTAAATATGACATGTAATTCAGATATTGAACACTTACAAGCACACTTGATTTTATTGAATTTCAAACAAAATTATTTTAGAAAAGAGTTGATGATTATTAAAAATGAATATAGACCATCATAATGGAATTTTAATGTTATTTATGATGTATTTTCGATTACCTAATAAAAATTAAAGTGCGTATTATATGCATTTCTAATAATAAATAAAATCTTAAATTTATATATGCAAGCCTAAAGAAAAAGATTCATAGGAGGAAATTGGAAGAGCAACAACACATTAGCCAAATCTCTTGAATTAGTTGACAGTGTTGTTAACAAATTAGAGTTTGATAATTTGGATGTTGTGGTTTCCCCAGTATCTTTACATATTGTTCCAGTCCAATAAGCAATTAAGAACAATGTTTAAGTAGCTCTTTAAAACATTGGACATAAAGGATTTGGTGCATTTACTGGTGAACTCAGTTTTGAACACGTCAAAGATCTTAAAATTAATTGGGTTATCTTGGGACATAGTGAAAGAAGAAGAACCCCAGAAATTTAAGAGAGTGAAGAGTTTATTGCAACCAAAGCTGCTTTAGCTATAAACAATGGATTATCTGTAATATTCTGTATTGGTGAAACCATTTAAGAAATGGAAGCTAAAGAAACCTAAACTGTGTTGGAGAAACAATTGAATCCTTTGATTGCTTAAGTAAAAGATTGGAGTAAGGTTGTTGTTGCTTATGAACCAGTTTGGGCTATTGGAACAGGTATTATTATAAAATAAGAATTTTAGGTAAGACAGCAACTCCAGAATATGCTGAAGAAATCCATGCAAATATTAGAAAATTACTTCCAGATTAATCAATTAGAATTTTGTATGGTGGATCTGTCACAAAAGACAATGCAGCAGTTTTGATTGGCTAACCTAATATTGATGGCTTCTTAGTTGGAGGTGCTTCATTAAAGGAAGATTTCATCCATATTGTTAATGCTTGCAAATGAGTTCATATTAAAAAAATAAAAATTTAATAATATATGTTTTATTCAACTGAACCAGAACCCTTTCCAATAGCTGTAATTAGTTTAGAATTAGAGGATCAAACAGAAGAAATTAAAATATATGAAGGAGATGACATAGAAGAAATAGTGGAAAATTTTTGTTAATATAAAGGTCTAGAATAAAAGTATGTGAAATACTTGATTGATCAAATAAATCAATAATTAAAAAAAGAACCTTCTCCTAGATTCGGGGATAGCTTTGGATAAAATTTTAGAACTCAATAACCATTATAAACAAATCAAAGCTAATAAAGTGAAGTCTGCTACACTACATAAGCAAGTAGTGTTGAAGAGAATTCTGCATAAAAAAGTTATGAAAAATGGTAATAACTTATGAATAAAAAGACAGATCTTAAATAATTATTGAACATGTCTTAGAATACAGTATAATGGACTGTTCCTAATACAGCAAGATGTAAATATTTCAAATTTATTATCATTTTAGCTTTCAACGAAAATAAAAAAATTACAGCAAATGAACGTCTTTATAGAGATGGATTAGATATTCAAAAAAATAAAAATGAGAAAGCTGAAATGATTAAGATTTAAAAATTATAATAAGAATCTAAATAAGCAACATTTAAACCTTTAATATCACCTAGATCTAAATTAATAGCATAATAGAAAAAAAAAGTAAGTAAACCAGAAAATAGTATTAATGAGGATGTATTTCATGCATAATAAAAGAGTTAAGAATAAAATAATAAGAAATTATAAAATAGAACATAAGTTTAAACATAAAAAAGAAAAGAGTCTCCTTTTTAACCTAATAAATAAATTAATACAAGTAGAAACCGTTCTCAAAATAGGTCTGTTACACCTATATATGAAAAATTATTCAAATAAGCTTAAGAAGTTAAAAAAAAGAAAGAAGAATTTGCAAATTAAGAATTTCAAAAGATATACACTTTTAAACCATAAGTTAATCGTCCAACTACAAGTGTAGATCCTGAGAATTAAAGAATTCTTGTTTAAAAATTAGTATAAGAACATGATGATAAAAGATAGAGAATTGAAAAGAAAAGGTAAAAACTTAAAATTTAATTTAGACATGAAATATAAATGTAAAATTAACCTACATTCCATCCTAAAATTACTAAAGATTAAACATTTATTAAAGTTAGTAAGTAAAGAGATTATGAAGACTCTTAATTAGCAGTTGATTTATAAAAGATCTAATCTCGTTTAGGTAGTAAAAATTCTTTTAGTTCTTCTGAAACAAGAATTTAGTCATAATAAAGTGAATAAACCTTTTTTGATAATTAAATCATTAAAATTTTTAATTTTTTAGATGGAGACAAGGATGGATATATAAGCAAAGATAATATAGATTTACATAAAATAGATATTGATACTTTAGAAATAATTAAAGATGTACTATATTATATTGATGATAATAATATAATTGCTGATTAGAATTAATTTAAAAAAATATGTTACACTAATGGATTACATGTCAAATTCAATAAATCATGATAAATTTTTCATTTTTTCGAGATATTTATTATATATATATACCTCTAAATTCTTTTATATTTATTAGTTAAAATTCTAGTTTTTAATTTTATGTATAAAATAATTTAACCATCATAAGAAGATAAAATATATTTTGGTTAGAAATAAGTTCAATAATTTCAACAAGATTAAGAAGAATCAATTTATGATGATATTTCATAAATACCAACTCAATTATAGAAAGAAGAATTAGAATAAATGCTTGATCTTATGCCTCATTTCGGTAATTCCAAGTTCTCTTAAAATTAAGAAAAAAACTTAGATTTATGGAAATCTATTTAATAGATAGAAATGAGAATAAAAGAATAAGAGAATAATTTTAAAAGAATCAATTTTGAACATTAAGAAGAAATTAAAAAATTAAAGAATGAGTTAAACTAACAGAAACATTTATATGAAACAAAGATAGATGAAATTAAATAATCAAGAATATAAAGTTCCAATTCTTAAATTCACTCTCCATATTCTACAGAAAATAATAGAGAATATAATTATCGTAGTAATAATAATTATACTGAGGTATCATAAGAAAAAAACTATTTATAATAATTAGTTCAAGATTTAAAATAATAAATTTAAGTTTTACAAACAAAATCCTTTTCTACTCCCTATTAAAATGATGTTATATGGCAATAAAAATATAAATAAATAGAGCAATAGGATAAATCTAATATTGAGAGGATATCTCATCTTGAAACTTAAATAATAAATTAAAAGCTTTTCTATGAGAATGATACATCTAAATTGAAAAAATAATTAGATGAAAAAAATCAAGAAGAAATAATGCTAAGAAATTAGATCTAACAATTATTACAAGATTTAAATAATTACAAAAATAAAGTATTATATTTATTTATTTTTTAGTTTAATTAAGTATCTTAAACACTTTAATAATAAAGTTAACAATATTAATCCTAAATTTATTAATTATAATTACAAACATAAAAAAACTATTCTTTTGAAAACAAGAATCAGAATTAACAATTATTGGAATTGACAGAGTAATTATAAGCTTCAACAATACTCCTTGAGAAGAAGATTTAAGAATGCGAATTTTATAAACAAAAATTCTTACAATAATAAACCATTCAATAAAACCAATACATTTATTCTCATCGTTAATCTCTAACACCAACAACTTAGAGAATATAAACTTAAAATCCAACTGTGTTTCCAATTTCTAATAAATAGCAACTATTTTAATAATTTTAATGAATAATCATAAAATAATACTATTTAGATATATACTAAACTACTCTTCTTTTTATACAATTTATAATTTTCTTGATCATTTGCTTAGGTTTTTAATCTAATCAAATTTTTTAAGTATAACATATAATTGATATAACAAATTTCTTAAAGAATTAACAAATATAGAACAACAATTATGTTGAGGATATACAATGTAAATAAAATTTTATATTTGATGTACTTTAAATAAATACACTTCATTTGGCTTATTGCTATTATTATTATTATTATTATGTTTATTAGATTCTAATGTTGGCATTGTATACTCTGGCAATATTAACTTCAATTGTAGTGATTTAATCTTTTAAAAACACTATGTCTTCATCCTATATCAATAAATGGATATACAAATTATCTAAGATTTGAACTGGCATTTTCTTTATTGGATGATAAAAGTGCTTTGGCTTCATTGAATTCAAATTCAACCATAACATTAGCACCTAACCAAAGAGCAACAGTCTTATTTTCTTTAGGTAAAACAGCTTTAGAATAAATAGTGTCTGTAATAAGAAAGTCAACAACTTCATCTTCTTTTTGGTTTTCTAAATGTTCAACTATACTCAAAGCTCTTTCAATTTCTGGTAATTTATTTTGCATTGATTCTCTTTATTTGACTAATTGTGCCTCCATAAATTTATATTTGCTAAGCTCATATTAAATTAATTCTTACTTATATGCTTCTTATAAGCTTTCCATTAATCTTTAGACTGAATTTTTAGAGATTAATTCATCAATATTTTCAAAGAAAATAGCTTCTGGGATTTTTCTATTGTTTTATGCTTACTTTGTAACAAGGTCCATATATATATTAATTATGATAATTATTTAATATATATATAATTGACATGTCTAATAATTAAACATTCAAAGATTTTCCAAATTAAAGCCATATTGAATTAAAATTTAATACAAAAGATCAACATGGACTGGAAAGAGAAGAAGCCTTATAAAAGTATCGAAGAAATGTAATCATAATAATTTTGATTATATAGATTAATTTACTTACAAAATTATTTGCATATGATGTAGACTAACCAGAATTGGAGAAATAAACTGATATCTTTTAATCAGAAAAATAAAATGGATCATATCAAATAAAGACACATCTTTTAGAAAGCATGAAATCATCTTTAATTCAATTATAAAATAGACACAAAGAAACAATTGATATGTTTAAAAGAAAAAATGAATTATTTAAATAAAGAATAAATGAGGATAACAAAATTAATACTTAAGAAGAGTATTAATAATTTATAAATGAATTGTAATCTGAAGATTTACTTTGTGATTCTCATCCATTTCTAGATAATAAATCCTCATTTTATATGCAAACAAATCTATAATAACCTATTTAAGTATTAATGTGAATTATTCAATTATAGATAAGTTAAGAATAATGTTTAGAGTTGAAAGAATAATTAAAAGATGATCAATGCATTTTGTTAAGTTGATTTATAAATAATTATTTACAAGTTAATTTAATAAATTGTATTTTCCTTCTTATTAATTCATTATTTAAATCTTAAATAGATATCTAATAATATATTTGTAATATTATAAAAAAAATAAAATTATAATTCATAAATATATATTTCTAATTTAATATAAATAATGTAATTAAATGAACACAAAGCTATTTTGTTTAACAAATTGTATGAGAAAGATGTTTGCATAAGATGTATATTGAGATTGTTCAAAATTACAGAGAATAACTTATATAGAGAAACCTAAGGATTCATTTAATTGTTGGTTGATGTAGGAAAATTGATTGGAAATGAAAATGTAAATGATTATTTTAATAAAAAAAGAAATTAGTAGAAGAGTATGATTTCTTATACTATAAAAGAAAGACAGAAATTATAGATTGTGATATATTGCCTTAAACTTGTCATTCTACATTGAAGGATTAATTCATTAAAAATCCATTTTATACCTTTGATAAAATTAATAAATGTTTAATTTGTCATGGAATATTATAATGTTTGGATGATTAAAAATTCTTAGTAATATTAGTTAATGAGATATAACAAAGATAATATTAATTTGAGGCATTTAAATTTTAAGTAAAAACACCAATTGGTTGTTAAATCAGATAAATAATGATTTTGAATTAATGTATAACAGAGATTGGGTCAAATGATCCATTTTATGAATAGATTATAACTCCTAATTTTGCAACAGACATTAAGAATTGTGTAAAATGGATAATGTGTAGTCTTTTAAGTGAATTATTAAAAGTACCTTGTGATATAAATGATGATAGATTTTTAATTTGTTTAAATTTTGAGAATATTGGAGATGATATTAAATAATTTGAATAATTTAAATAAATAATTTAAGATATTGATGATAAAATGTGGGAGGAGAAAATTGCTAAGAAAGTACGATTATATTATAACAAAGTTAAAAATGAATGACCCTTAATTAAAGGAAGAAATTAATAATAAATTATTATAAAAGAAAAATCTATAATCTTAACCTTTTTTACCTACTCAAAATAATTTAGAGAAAATATCTAAATTAAATTAAATTTAATTATCTTAATTTAAAATAATTAATGTTAATTATCCAGTTAAATTAGAAGTAACAACTAGTTATTAGAACATATTTATAAAAGGAAATTACATAAAATTAGGTAGATATATTAGCTAAACTCCATGGTTTATAAATGGAAATAGAATATATGCAGATTCTATTGAAGATTTAGTGAGCGCAGAGGCATGCAAGATCTTTAAACCTTCAAGTTTAAAGTTTCATTCTGGAGGAAGGGAAGATATAGATGTAAGAATGTTAGGGAATGGTAGACCATTTGCAATTGAATTAGTTGATCCTCATTGTGGATTGTAGATTTAAACCTAAGAAATTCTTAATTAAATAGAATCTAATATAAATTCATAAAAAGTAGTAAAAGTAACTCCATTATAATATACTGATACAAATATATTTGAAGAATTAAAGAATTCTGAAATTAATAAAGTTAAAGCTTATTGTTGTATAGTTGAATGTAAATATATAGTAAATGGAGATCTTATCAAATAAGCAAATTAAATAAAGGATTTAATCATTAAATAGAAAACACCAATTAGAGTACTTCATAGAAGAACTTAAATGGTAAGAGATAAGATCATCCATTCATTATTGATTAAATAAATTAATGAAAAATGGCTTTTGGTTTATTTACTTAGTAGTGCAGGTACTTACATTAAGGAATTTATTCATTCAGATTTAGATAGAACTGTTCCAAATTTATGTACATTATTATAAAATGAGTGTGATATTTATTAATTAGATGTTATGAAATTGTATGAAAAGATTGATGATGATGTTATTATTAATTTTAAAAATTTAGATACAGAATATGGAAGTAAAATTTGAGTTAAAAATAAAATATAATATTTTGAACCATTTAATCACTTATATATATATATTATTTTTAATTCAATATGTAATAACAGGAAACTTAGGATAATTTAAGTCTAAAGATTCTTCTTTAATCATCAATCAAATATAAAACTGAAACTTAAAGCAAATTTATTTAGAAAATAATACCATTAAATGAAAATTAAATATTTCTTTATTTTGAAGGTAGCCTTTATGAATTATATGATATTGAATCATAATAAATTATAGGCAAAGGATAAATCGCTAATGATGTCAAATATTTCACTTAAATATATCCATAGTATATTATAACATTATAAATAGAACTTTATGTTTTCTTGACCCAGAAGATATGAAAGTTAAATTACTTGATCTTAAAACTCATCAAATCAATTAATCATTTGTTTTTGCTGCTAGTAATATTGTTAAATAAAATAGTGATAAACAATTAAAAGATGCTTTAGCTGATAGTAATTAATTAATTTATTCATAGAATTTCGTATTATGATATTAGATAGAGAATGTGATAATGTTCGATATCTTATTACTTAAGATTTAGAAAAATAATATTCAAATAATAATATCTGTCATTTTATTATTAGAATCATCCCTCAAAAATACACACATTAAACTGAATTTGATCTCAATCCTGTTTTTGAATATAACTATCCTAATTAAACAGGATAAACTGATTTACATAATTGGTAAGTAGATCAAGAAACATTTGCTGTTTTTGGATAAGATTTTGAAGTTGGTTTAGCAGAAATCTTATTGATTAAACCACATCTAATGGATAAAGCATTCTACATTATTCATATTAAAGACGATATTTCTTTCACATTAATAAATGTTACTAATTGGATACATCCTCATTTAATTGCTTTATGGTAAAATAATAATGATGGTAATGCTAAACCTACTATTTTTACAATTGATATAAGATCTTATTATAATGGCTAAAATTGGTTACCTGAACCAGATTATAATCCTACTAAAGTAAATTATTCAATAATCTAATATTTAAGGTAAGGGATGATTATGTTGGTGATTAACCTGTTACTTTTATAGATATCTATCAATTTTAATTATTATCAACATATGTTTTATAATTTAGATTAATTGGAAATGATCCCAAAATTTCATTAATTAATTATGCCAATATTGATAAACCTGATTTAATTAATGAATTAAAAATAGATGACTTTTTCAATGAATTACCATCAAATAGATCATATTTATTGTTATATGATGAAGTAGAGTAAAATATATAAAATAATATTAGAGTAAAGAATGGAATTATAGAGTTTAATATTGTGTTTCCAGTTGATGCAAGACATTAATTATTATAAATTATGGAAAAAGCAAAAATAATGGATAAATATGGAATAAATAATATTGAAGAATTATTTGAATTTTATTAATGAAAATATCAAATTTCTTATGATGTTCATATATTTATTTAGAATAATAATAATAATTCATAAAAAATATTTTCTTTTTGCCACTGTTTGTTATGTTTGGATTTATTTAATATTTGTTATGTCACTATTTTTGAATATATCTGCATCAGAAGGTCTTATTGT